CCGAGTTTGGGTTCTTGAGCCGAGAAGCTGCGGGGGAGTCTGCCTGGGGGCGGGAACTCCGGGGAAGGGGGACGCGAGCGAGAGCAGCAGCTCGGGGGTTGCAAACTTCTTCCTCTCAGGAGCCCCGTGCCCCCACAGCCTGCGGGAGAATCGAGCCCCTGCTCGATTTGGAGGCCGACGCTTTCCGGCCTTAGCCCCTCTCCCGGATCCTTGGCGGCACGTGGATGGTGATAATGGTTGTCGCTTACTCTCTGCACACGATGTCTTGAGCATTTTTCTGCAGCCCATTCCAGAGTCATAGCTCCCCCCAGAGAAGCCAAGGACAATGAGACCACATACTGTTATCAATTAGAAGCGTCAAGCGGTTTGAACTGGAGGAACCTGCAGTGCTAAGCCTGAGTTAGACCTCCCAGAGGCTGGGAGCAGCCTTCAGCCCTGCCCTGGGCTCACAGGTGCTGCAGACTGTATTCAGAGCTGGTCTCTCGTCGACCTCTATGGCCAGGGATAAAAGTGTGATGACCTTTTGCTTTAGCATGGCTACGTAGCCTCACCTGATCCGCCTTCCCAGGGGACAGGGAGAAAAGTGGGATTGTGAGAACATCCTAGGGATGGAGTGGGTGGGTGGGTTTGGAGCTTCAGCAGGGGGTGTGCAAAGCTCAGGTCTTAAGGGAAAGGAGCAAAAGAACTGGCTGACACCCAGCGGCAAGTGGTGGAGCTGGGATTTGAAGCACGACAGTCTGGTTGGTGGGTGTGTGCTTCCTTTACTGCTCCCGTGTACTGCCTCTTTTCTCCAAGGGGGCAAACAGAAAGAAGTAAGGGTGGTTGAGTAACAGAGGCCTCCTGGAGGTTAGGTGGGAGGGATAGAAGCTGTGACTAGAGGACTGAGGAAGGCTCCACCTCCCAGAGGGGGCAGCTGGAGATTGAGCAAGCGCCCAGCTCAAGGGTCTTTGACAAACCACGTCTCTCCGTGTCCCATTTTCTGCCCAATTTCTGGAAGCTGGTGTGGTCTACAGGACCAGCTGGTCCAAATGGGTCATTTTACATACAAGGGAACAGAGACATGGGGTGATTTGCTCAGATTCCTGAGCATGTGAACAGCAGAGCTGGACCAGACTTGTCTGCCTAGATGATGCTGCCATTCATCTGACCCAGGGAGGGGGGATGTTGCCCCCAGGACCAGAGCCTGGATGAGGGCATAGTCTTCAAACCAAGCACCCGCAGCGTCTCAGTGTTGTTCAGTGTGGCTGGATTTGGACTAGGTGGCTCCCTGTGCCATGGTCTCCCATTTCTTGGACTGTGGCTGTTCTCAGTGGTCCTGTCTTCCCTTCTTGGCCTGTTAGCCACAGTTTTTTGTCTCCAGGAGACAGGAGTCTGGAGCCTCGGAGAGATGTGTGCAAGCTGGTCGCAGTGGGAGCTGGAAAGGTACCTGGAAGTCCTTTAATGCCCCTGGGACACCAAAGGCCTATGAGGCAGTGTTGGGACCTTCACTGTTGATTGGATAGAGAAGGACCAGCCCCTGCCAGGATGCTCTAAAATGTCCTCTTAGAGCACTGGGGTTTGCTTGGAGGTCGTAAATTGGCCACTGTCACGATTCGGAAACATGACCAGCCTGGCAAGAGGTCATTCTACCTCCATCGACAGCAAGGAAGCATTGGCTCCTACCACAGCGTTGGTTTTGAATGATCCTTGGGAGGGCATGTAAGGAGAGTTGTTTTTGGAAGGTGTCTTGGCTGGGTGGGTGTTGCAGGCTCAGCACAGAGATGACAGAGCAGGAAAGTGGCCCTGAGGAGGATGTGGAGGGAGTGTCCTGTTGGTGTTCAGGTTAGTCGCGTCCTTTGCTTTAGGACTGGCCAAGGTGCTGGGGGAGGAGGTCCTGTCAGTGAAGAGCTCAGATCCTCCAAGAGCCTCAGCCAGGGCTGACCCTGGCTTCCCCACCCCTTGTGTCCTCTTGTCTGTCATAGTTACTGATGGGAGCAGCTGGCATGTCAGGACTGGTGTTGTCCCATAAGCACGTGGCATGCTGCCACTTTGTGAAACCGCCTGCAGCCATTCAGGGGCAGGTCTTCCTGTTCTCCCCATTTTACAGATTGGGGGACCAAGGCTTGGGGAGGTTGGGTGACCTGCCGCACATCATCCAGCAGGTAAATGGCAGAGCTTAGCCTTGCGCCAGCACTTCAGTTGCCAGCCAAGCTTCATGCCCTCCGTGCTTCTCTGCACCCATTTGAGGCCACCGCTCAGCACCTTCACGGGGCTTGCTCTCCCCTGTACCCAGGGGATCCTGAAAGCTTGTGGCTTCCTAGTCTTCTCCTCCCCTTGACTCTCCTCCCTGAATGTGTCCTTGTCCCTCTTCACTTTGTATCCAGGACTCTTCTGCAAGCACATCCGGTACTCCTCTCCCTCTGCAACCCCAGTGGTGTTCACTGCAGCATCTCTCTAGGGTTTGGGGATGAAGAGGATGCAGCCTCCCAGGGGAAGCAGCAGAGCCGGGTGCTGATGTTCAGAGTCCCCTCTGGCAGCCACACGCGCTCTCCTGATGCTGTGGCTTCACCGAGTGGTGTGGTCTCCTCCCTCTGCCTTTGCCCTGCTAGTGAACACAGCCACTCTTTAGGGTGACAGCACATGTCCCACTTGTTGGCTCCCCTTCTGTGGCATCTGTCACCAGCTGCCCTGTGAGGTCATCATTCTTATCCTCGTATCCAGGACAGAGGTGGAGCATCTTATCTTTGCATCTCTGCAATCCTAGCCTGGTGCTCGGGAAACTGATGAAATGATTGGCCCTCACCAGACTGGAGTCTGTCCTTGGAGGAGTAGGGTTTGGGGGCTTTCTGTCTTCATGTTGGAGGCATAGCCCTGGACTTCATGTGTTTTGTTCAGAGGCCTGGTGGCCCCCGAGGGTCCCATCAGTGCTGAGTTGAGTTTCAGTGCCACTGTCACTAAAGCCCGTTCTCCAGTTCTGCAGTTAGACGAGACAACATGTTGTCCACCTAACACACGAGAGTGAGTGAGGAGCCACCTGTGAGGCTGACCTCTGGCTCCTTGGATCCCTTAAAGAGTCAAGCCTGACTTTTTTTCTTTTTCTTTTCTCTTTTGTTTTAAGAGATTAGGTCTCACTTTGTCACCCAGGCTGGAGTACAGTGGCCCAGTCAGCTCATTGTAGCCTCCAGTTCCTGGGTTCAAGTAATCCTCCCACCTCAGCCAGTAGCTGGACTATAGGCATACACCACCACACCTGGCTAGTTTTTCAACTTTTTGTAGAGACAGGGTCTCAGTGTGTTGCTCAGACTGACCAAATGTTACAATCTTTCACACCCCACACTGGGGCCAGTGCACTCTGCCCAACCTTGTGAGCAGTGTGCCAGCCCCTCTCACAGAGGCTGTGCTTTTCTCAGGGCCTGGTGGACATACTGTCCTGCCATGGCCTCCAAGCTCCCCAGGGCAGAGACAAAGCCCCATGCAGTGCCTCCTCCACATAGCAGTGCTGGGCACACACCAGGTATCCGACTCCTGCCAGGTTCCCTGGCCAAGGACCTCAAGGGGAAGGCTTGCTGTTAGAACAGACACCCCTCCACCTATAGGCAATGGTGAGATGTTGGGGCAGGAGCTTTGCTTAACTAAATGTCTGTGTTCTGGGTTGGGGGTGGGAGGGGGCAGGTACAACTGCCCCAGCTCCTTCCGGGGTGGCACACCTGCCCTAGGCCCCCAGGAGCTCAGCATTGAGGTTGCAGGAGCTGAGAGAGCAGCTTCCAGGTGTCCCATGTGCCTGCCCCCTTTTCCTGTGGACCCAACTGCTGACCTCCCTGAGCCTAGACCCCTTTTGCCTGTATTACAGGGATATATATTGTCTTGTCACCTCATACCTTGTCCTTCAGGTGGTTTGTCTCAGAGCCAAGGTGTGCTTGAGGGAGAGAGTGAGTTGAGTTTACTAGGAAAACTTGGGGGGTGTTTCCTCGGATGCTGCCTTGACAGGCCAGGTAGGGGTGCACACCGATCGCAGTGGCCAGCCCCTAAGACTTTGTCCAAGCTGTGGAGTGGGCTATGGGGTCAGATGGTGTTTCACGTTCGCTCGTGTGACCAATGTGAGGCTCTGGGAGGCTGCAGTGCTGACGGGGCGGGAGGGGGCTGAAATTCACATCCCACTACCCATCCTCCATCTGCCTCTCACAGGAGCCATGGGAAAGGACACCTCTCCCCCACTGCCCCCGTGGGATTACCAAGGGCTGAGGGTGACAGGAGCTGGAGCTACTAGCCCTCGGGACAAGGGCTAATCCCTCACCGCCCCTTCTTGCCACCCACTTCCAGGCCAGCTCATTCTGGATGTGTGGAGCCATTTCTTTTCTTTCTTTTCTTTTTTTTTTTTTTTTTTTAAGAGACAGAGTCTCACTTTGTTGCCCTCAGTAGAGTGCTGTAACGTCATAGCTCACAGCAACCGCCAGCTTTTGGGCTTAGGCAATTCTCTTGCCTCAGCCTCCCAATTAGCTGGGACTACAGGCACCTGCCACAATGCCCAGCTATTTTTTGTTGCAGTTTGGCCAGGACAGAGTTTGAACCCGCCACCCTTGGTATATGGGGCTGGCGTCCTACTCATTGAGCCACAGGCACCGCCTGCGTGGAGCCATTTCCCCAGCAACAGAGCCAGAGTCTCAGAGTGGAAGCACGACTTCCTGGGGCAGGCAGGTGGGCCTTCATGGTGGGCTACCTAGACCAAAGCCATGGTCCCTGCTCACTATTGTTGGTCCCCTGGGCAGGTGCAGAGGCTGGCCTTCCCTTCAAACAGGATAAGAGGATCAAGAGCCTAGGTGAAGGGCCTTGTCCTGGGGCTTTGGGGTTTGGGGACATCTGGGGGGGTGGGCATATGAGAGGTCACAGCCAGGTCATCTCTCATCAGGATGTGCACTATGCACAATGACAAAGAAGCCTATAAAGCAGGTACAAATTAGCACCCAGAAAGCCAGTGCTTAATTGCCCAGGAATGCCAAATGCGGGCATCACAGCAGAGTGGATTTCCCAGCCTCCTGCCACAGCCTCAGTACCCGCGGTGCTGTCTGAATGCCAGGCACTGATCATCAAGTGCTTCCCTGCATTTTCTTATAATAAGGAACCTAATAGCAGCATCTCTAGGGGAAGGACTCCCAGCCTCCCCATCTGACAGGTTGCAGGAATGAAATGGAGGCTGCCAGAGCCTGGCACCCCCAGTGCGTGTCTCCTGCTGGCTCTGTGCTGTTGACAGGATGCTGCGGCCCCTTGTCCACTATGGGGACTCTGGCCTGAGCTGGGGCTGCAGGGTTTGGTTCCATCTCTGTTCTCTGTCCAGCCCTTCCCACATGCACCATAACTATGACTTCAGAGTCACTTACTCTGAGCCACATGTTGTCCAGCCTCTCCACAAGCAGTGCCTTGGGAGGGAGGTGCTCTTGTCCACACTGACAGGTGATAGAGCACCCTTAACCTTCCATGGTGGGGGAGCAGCAGGTCAGGAGATGGAGCCCAACTTCCCAGGAGTAGCCTCCCCCCAGGCCACTGATAAGCTCGGGGTTGTGACAGAAAAAGCACTTTCACGTGTCTTCTGTCATTGCATCCTGGTTACATGTGGAACCCATAGGTGCTCCCACTTTATAGATGTAGCCACTGAGGCTGAGAGGGCGGGAGCCTCCCAGGCACACGCCTGGCTCCCGGATGCATGCCTCCATCCTTTCTCTGAGCACAAGTGGCACTTCAGGATGCAAAGGCTGCAGGGCCCTGCCATCAGGTTCTGTGGACAGCAGGCCATCTGTCAGGAGAGGTGACTGTTCACTCTGGCAGGGGCCCCGGGCAGTGCCCCAGAGCTGGAGGAGGCCTCTGGAGGAGGACCAGGGGTAGCAGGGCCAGGCCCAGGGCTTCAGCACCTGCTTCGCATTGCCTGCATCGTGTCTAGATTCCTGGGACTAGAGGGGTTTGCGGGACAGTTGCTGTGTGTCTCCCCACCCCCACTATGCCCACAGCCAGCAAGGCAAGTGGAGGGGACCCAGAGCATAGATCCCCCAGTGTCTGGGCTGGGATTATCCCGCAGGCTCCACCTGTCAACCACACATACAACCAGCAAGCGCTGCTGAGGGCCCGCCTGTCATGTACTATACCGGGGAGATTTGGCCCTCCGGTGAGCAGCTGTCACTAGTTCCCTCCCCTCAGCCTCCTCTGTGCTCATACTCCTGGGGACTCTGGGAAGCACAGGAGGCTCCTTTCAATCTGGACGCTCCCTGGGGAGTACCACTTCCACAGGCTGGGAGCAGGAACCTGATGTGGGAGGGGCTGCCTTGGGGCTTGATGCCATCATCCCCGTGGCCCAGCTGGCCCTGAGTCGTGCTGAAGCCTGGGAGCCTCATGGGAGGTGCTCTGCCTGGAGGGTCAAGGATCCGAGAGGGCTGTGGCTGCCCTGTTTGGACCTTGTGGGTGGACATAGCAGCATCCAACCTGAGTTCCTCATCCTCAAAGCCGTGGTTTCCTTTTCAGGTGGCCTGCGTCTCCAGCTAGGCGTCCCCAGGTCCTGCTTCTGGCACCCTTTCCCTGGCGGCCCAGGGGCAGGGCACGGGTAGCCCCCACTGAGTGGGCGTCCAGGGCTATCTGGCTAACACCAGTCTTTCTTCATCCGCAGGATGAAGCCAACACACACAATGGTTAACTGCTGGTTCTGCAACCAAGACACACTCGTGCCCTACGGGAACCGCAACTGCTGGGACTGTCCTCACTGTGAGCAGTACAACGGCTTCCAGGAGGTATGGGTGGGCACCCTGCAGCCACCCTGCCCGCCCCAGGGCTGATGGGCCCCACCCTTCTCCTCTGCCAGCCCCTGAGCAGAGTGCTTCACCCACAACACAACACTGTGACCAATGGTCACTATGACCCTGGTGTTGTGCCCCTCATTTGAGGAAGAGAAACCAGGCTCAGGGAGCTATAGTGTCTTATCAAAGGTTACACCAATAAAAGTGGAGCTTTGGAGTTGAAACCCAGGTGTTTTTGGCTTTGTAGCCCATACTCTGTATTAGATCAGGGTTCCCAAGGCTTTTTTGCAGTGGTCCAGGTATTATTTTAAGCTTTGCAGGCCATATGGTCTCTGTTACAGATAACACGCAAATGAATGGGCCTGGCCGTGTCCCAGGAACTTTGTTACAAAAACAGGCAGCCAGCCCATGGCCATGGCTTGCTGACCCCTCACTAGACCCAGGTTTGCAGGCTAAGTTCTGAGACTGAGAGGGTGACCAGGCCAGGTAGTGGGATATGAGCAGGAAGCGGGCCCAGTGCCTTGCTGTGCACTCGGGCTGGGTGGCTTCACTCAGCTTCTGGGCATTGGGGTTCCCTACAAAATGTCTGGAGGAAAAGCTGCTGCTATAGCATGTAAAAAAGAAAGAATGGTATGCTTGAGATTCACATCACTTACCCAGAATGTCCCTGCTTGGGACCTCTGGCATCAAGCTGGAGCCAGCCAGGAAGCCTCACCCACTGACCTTGACTCCCGCCTGCCCTCCCAGAATGGCGACTACAACAAGCCAATCCCTGCCCAGTACATGGAGCACCTGAACCACGTGGTGAGCAGCACACCCAGCCTCCGCGACCCCGCACAGCCGCAGCAGTGGGTGAGCAGCCAAGTCCTGCTATGTAAGAGGTGCAGCCACCACCAGACCACCAAGATCAAGCAATTGGCTGCCTTCTCTCCACGTGAAGAGGTGAGACCAGGACAGGAGGAGCTTTGCCAGGGCTGGGGGTACTTAGAGCAGCCGAGGGGACAGGCACAGTGCAGGGTGCTGGCTGGGTGCCATCTCTGCCAGACAGCAGCTTTTCTGTCCTGAGTGCCCAAGGGCCTCTGCTCACCCTGACCCCTGCTGGCCACACATTCCAGGGTGTGTTAGTTCCATGACCGTTGTAGCCAGGCTGTTTCTCCCGGTGTCTTGTGGCTACTGCTGTCTGGTTCCAAGCCTGGAAACACCATGGAAATCCCAGTCCCTGCCAATCCAAAGGGGTCTGTCCCCAGGCAGAGGGAGTAGGGACCTTGGGCTCGACTGGGGACCTATTGGATCCTATCCTCATCCCTCTAAGTCAGTCTAGCTGGTTGGCGTCCTGGGCGGTTTATTCTGAGAGTTGGTAGGAAATGCTGCTGGCTCCTAGAAGAAGGAGAATGCTAGATGTTGCTGAGAGGCTGGGCATCAGGGCTTGGGCTGAACTGGGAGCTTGGCCTCCCCTGTGCCCACCGTGGAGTCCAGGAGTCTCGTTACCTGGCTACTCCTGTCCACCCCCAACCCTAGCCAGCCGGAGGTGGGGGAGTCCTGTGACCTCAGGAGGCAGATCCCAGTTGAGACCCAGAGACACTGGCTTTCCTGGGGTCAGGCCAGGGAGGGAAGGAAAACAGCTGAGCTCAGACCAAGGCAGGGAACAGTGGGGACCTACAGAAGGGGACGAAGGTGTGCTTCAGCAGCCAGGCAGCTTTCCTGGCATGCTTGGCCCCAGCAAGAGATGACACTGATGACCCTCCTGGCTGCTGCAGACTGCAGTGTTTTGCTTTCTTGGTAACAGGAGGGAGAGGTGCGTTGCTGCAGCTCTGAGGGGAGAGAAGAGGAGGGATTTATCTTCTGGGCTATTCTGGATACCCAAGGAACCCTTCTGCCACTAAGGCCCAGCCCCAACCAGGGGCTTTCTGGTACATTTTAGACCTCCGGCTCAAGTGGAAGCCCGCTCTGAGCTGTCTGTCTGCACACCTTGCCGTATGCCACAGACACAGGGTAACACAGGTTCAGCGTGGGGATGACATGCTTGTGATCACCTCCTTGTAGGCAGCAAGGCCAGGACCCAAACCCAGGTCAAACCTATAAGATGGGCAGCTCAGCTGGCCCCTGACCCCGAGCCTTTGTCCCCCACCCTGTAGGGCAGGTACGACGAGGAGGTGGAGGTGTACCGGCACCACCTGGAGCAGATGTATAAGCTGTGCCGGCCGTGCCAGGCAGCTGTTGAGTACTACATCAAGCACCAGAACCGACAGCTGCGTGCCCTGCTGCTCAGCCACCAGTTCAAGCGCCGGGAGGCCGACCAGACCCACGTGCAGGTGTGAGGGGGACACCCACAGGAAACCCTCCCAGAGGGCTGCGCCCCAGTGGCCAGAGGGCAGGTCCTCAGAGCTGACCCTTCCCCATGGGGAAACAGCCTGCCTGTAGGGCCAGCTTCCCACCCTGTCCCCCAGGTCTCTTCATGCTATTAGCCAGAAGGTATCCCCAAGGAGAGTGACCAGTAGCACAATGCATTTGTTACCTGTCTGAGTAGGGGGTTGGGGTCACTGTGCTGGGACCCCCATTTACAGACAAATTCAGGGAAGCTGAGGAGCTCTCACAGAGGGCTGTGTGCTTGGTGTGTGGTGGCACCAGGAAGGATTTGAGCCTGGTAAAAATTACTGATTTTTTGTCACAGTACTTAGTTGATGGAATATTCTGGTTTGTAAAAGTCAGATAACGGTAGCAAGTAAATTTAGAAGTAAAAAGTGTCCCTAGATGTTCCCTGAGTGTAGCTGGTGTGTGGTTTCTGGTCCACAGTGGGTCCTCTCGCTGGACGGCCATATCGCATCTGCCCTGTCGTCAGACACTTGATTCTCATTCTGACCAGCGTGTTTGTGGCCTGAGTAACTCACTACTATATTTTTAAGTTAATTTTTGCCAGAGTGATTCATATGTTATGGCAATTTCAGTTAAAATCACAGTAGCAACTTTTGGTGAGAACTTGACAAAATGATTGAAAAGTGTATTTGGGGGAATAAAGTGACCGTAATATGGAAGAGACTTCTGTGAGGGAGAGCGTGGTAGAGTGGCCCTCCTCCCCATGCAGAACTGTCACCGGTGGGTGTGGGTCTGGAACAGAGATGAGTGGTGGAACTGAGTGGCAAGCCTTTGAGCAGAGCTGGGGTGCGGGGAGGAGGGCAGCCCTGGTGATCAGGAACGGGGCCGTCAGGGCTATGGGGCGCCAGAACCCCTGCAGCAGGGCACAGGAATGGCTGTAGGTAGCTCTATGGCCGTCTCACTGACCTGCCTCTCTCCTTTCCTCTCAGAGCTTCTGCTCGTCCACAGTGAAGGCCCCAGCCCAGGTCATCCTGCTCCGTGCCCTTGCCTTCCTGGCCTGCGCTTTCCTGCTGACGGCCGCGCTGTATGGCAGCAGTGACCCCTTTGCCCCCGGGGCTACCCTGCCCTTGGCCCTGCCACCTGGCGGCAATGGCTCTGCCACACCCAACAACAGTACTGCACCTGGGGCTGACAGCTGGCGGCAGCTGCTGGGCCTGCTGCCCGAACACGCGGCAGGGAAGCTGCGTGAGGCCTGGGCCTTTGGGCAGAGCCACCAGATGGGCGTTGTGGTGTTGGGCCTGCTCACCTGCCTCCTGGCCATGCTGCTGGCTGGCCGCATCAGGTGCGTGTGGGGCCATGGGCATGGGTGGTTGGGGGGGCCTGGAGGCTGGATCACTGTCAGGGGCAGAGCCAGAGGCTTTGCAGGGCACACATCCCAGGTTGAACCCTGCTATGAGGATGGAGGGAGATTCAGTCCTATTCTCCAGGGGCAGGCTGGGGGGTCAGATGAGCAAGATGGGACAGAAAAGGCCCTGAGTGGGGTCAGTGGAGCTGGGGCCTAGCTGCCTCCTTTCTCCACCTCAGGTAACCACCTGCCTTGTGGGCTGTGCCCCCTGAGCAGGAGCAAGTCCTCTGTGAACTCTATGTCCCCATTACCTAGTCTTCACAGTGACTCTAAGGCTCGGGGGAGGGGAGACACAGACCTCCAGGGAGTCAGGCAGTGGGTGAGTGTTGAGGTATTCCGAGGCCCACGCCCTCCTGCTGGCTTTTTCTGCCCTCCGAGTGGGGTCAGGAGGTCCTGTCCTACCCCTTGGGCTTACCTGCCACTCTCTCTGCAGGCTCCGTAGGATCGACGCCTTCTGCACCTGCCTGTGGGCCCTGCTGCTTGGGCTGCACCTGGTGGAGCAGCACCTGCAGGCTGCCTCGCCCAGCTGGCTAGACACGCTCAAGTTCAGCACCACGTCCCTGTGCTGTCTGGTGGGCTTCACGGCAGCTGTGGCCACAAGGAAAGCAACAGGCTCACGGAGGTTCCGGCCCCGAAGGTCAGAGAAGCAGCTGTGACTTGAGGGGGGAGGACAGACGGACGGACAGGCCCCGGCTTTGCTCCAGCCCAGAACAGGGTGTCTCTCTGCCCTGCCTCTTACTGCCTTGCTCCCACCCAGCACAGCCTGGAGCCCTAGGTCCTGGCCCAGTCCCTGTGCTGCCTTAAGGGATCAACTTGCCCCTCTTTTCCTTTCCGGCACCCCCAAACCACCCCCAATGTCCTATAGCTACTTACCACTGCCACCACCTCTCTGGCCAAAGACCTTTTCAATGCCCCAGTGATCAGACATGGACAGCACCCACACGTAGCCTCTGACACGCTGCTTCTTGCCAGTAGCTCCATTCACTCAAACTCCTTCCATAGTCTGTTCCTGGCTCTGACATCACAGGGTGGGGTGTAGGGCTGTAGGCTGAGCCCTTGGTGCATGCCCCAACCACTCAGGCCGTTTATCACAGCAGGTACGACTCAGCAGAGTGACAGTGGCCAGAGCAGAGACCCTCTACCCTCATCCCTGCATAGAACTTCTGGTGTGGTCTGTACCCCGTCCCTGCCTAGACCCTCTGGTGTGATCTGTTCCCCTATCCTCTGTTCCTGTGTAGACTCTGTAGTCTGTCCCCCATCCCCTGTCTCTGCATAGACCTTCTGGTCTGCATCTGTGTCCCCGTTCCTGCATACTCACTTTGGTCTGTACCCTTGTCTCTACATAGACCCCCTTATATGTACTCCTGTCCCCCGTCCCTGCATAGGCCTTCTGGTCTGTCCCCTTATCCCCTGTTCCTGCATAGATTCTCTGGTCTGCCCCGCTGCCCCCCATCCCCGTCCCTGCATAGACCCTCTGATCTGGTCTGGTCTGCCCCCATATCCCCGTCCCTACGTAGACCCTCTGGTCTGGTTTGCCCCCATATCCCCTGTTCCTGCATAGACTCTCTGAGCTGCTCTGGTCTGCCCCCTCACTCCCCCCATCCCTGTCCCTGCGTAGACCCTCTGGTCTGATCTGCCCCCATATACCCTGTTCCTGGATAGAATCTCTGGTCTGGTCTGGTCTGCCCCATGGTACCCTGTGGTCATGCCCGTTGTTGGGCCAGCCTTGTAGGAAGCAGTAGAACCACAAAGGCAGGGATGCCCCTCTGGATCCACTACTTAGGCCCTGAGACCCTGTGAGCCCTCAGCCTCCGTCCCCGGGAATGGATAGTTTGGCTTGACCGTGAGTTTGTGGGTCAAGACCCCTCCCCAGGTAGACAGTAGAATGTCCTGCTTCTTGTAGTCATCACACTTCCTCTTTACAGGCTGTGATGGGAGTGTACCCCGCCTACAGGGTCTCTTTGTTACTGAATACCACTGTGGACCAGGGAAAAAGAACTAGGACAGGGCTCCTCAAACTTTTTAAATAGGGGGCCAGTTCACAGATCCTGCTTTGCATGTCCCTGTGGGGCTGCCACGGGGCCCATGTGCTCCTCCCCCAAGTCAGGCAGAGTGGCCCCCAAATGGGGGAGGGGTGCCCAGAGATGGCTGCCTCCCAAAATCACTCCCCAGAGGCCACAAACCTGCTGGTCAGTAGCTGTGCACTCCTGGGCAGGCCTTGCTGTTCCCAGCCTCAGTTTACCATCTGGGGAATGAGAGGTCGATCTTTTCGAGAGTCCGCGGGCATAAGGACTCTGACATGGCGTGTAAGGACGCACTTTGAAAATTGAGGTGCCATCCACATGCAAGGGAAATTCCCATCCTCGGGAGTACAGCCAGGGGTCACAGCCAAGGCTTTCCGCCACCTGGCATGTTGCCCTTTGGTGACCCCAGAGTGGGCTATACACTCCCTTCTGGGGCCTGTGTGTCCAGCCACTTATAGCTTGGAGCATAAGCTCCCCACACCCAGGTGTAGCCCAGAGGAGGCAAAGATGAATGACACACATGTGAGGGTCACACCCAAGTCCATGAGTCTGAGGCAATAGGTTGGTAGTTGCCCTGGTCACCTCCTGTGTGGAGGCCTGCAGTGAGGTGGAGGGTGGTGCCTGGGCCCTGCCATTGTGAATCCACCACCTTTGAGGGTCCTAAGGGGCCACCCTCCCACCCCGAGCCCCAGTGATTGGATGATAGCTTGCTACTTACTCAGCATCACATGTGGTAGTAAGCCCAGGTGAGCTCTTAGGGCCCTGGCTGCCCAGTGAGCCTTCTGGCTTCAGACAAGGCCCTGGCATTGTGGGGCTCAGCTTGTGGCTCAGCATAGAGGGTGAAATGAGAAGATGGGGGCAGGGCTGAGAGTCCCACTGGTTCAACAGTGATGACGGTTGGGGCCAGGCCTAAGTAGCCTAAGGGGCAGGTTGTTGCCTGCCTCTCCTTTCACCCCTGCCTCCCACCCCCCCCAAAGGGCATATGAGAGAAAAGGAGGTGACAGGTACCAGGTCAGGAAAGAATAGTCTGTCTGCCGTGCTCACCATTGCTTGTGTCTCCACTCTCCTGTTCTCAAGGAAGTTTTGACTATGTGCTAATTTCTGCTTTTCTTTGAATTGGGTAGAAGAAGGACATTGCGTGTGCGTGTGTGTGTGTATTTAAATTAAATTAAATTATTTATAATAACCAGAACCAGCTCTCGCTGGCCAGAATCCTCCTCTACGCAGACATCTCTCCTGCCCTGTGGTGTTGTGTAAAGAGTCATCTCATGAGATGGCTGTCATCAGAGCAAGGATTCCTGGCCACCTTAGGAGTTTTGTGTGACTTTTTAAAAAATACCTGTCTGTCCCTCGAAGTTTCATTACTTGGAGAAAATGCCAGCACCTTGTGACATTATCGGCAGCAGCTGAGGGAGTATGGGCACTATTGCATTGTGGCTTATGGCTGGGAATATGTCACCCCGACCAGGGACTTCTCTCTCCCCAGCCAGGGTTGGCTGTCAGACCTTCCAGGGTCAGAGAGGGATCATCCTGGGCGCCAGGTGGCTGTCCCTGAGGCAAAAGTGAGGTAGATGGCAGCGGTCTTCACCCTCTGGGTCTGGGGACCGCACCTGGGCCAAGCAGGCTTCCCCAGGGACACTTACCTGGGGGCAGACAGCTAAGACACCTGCCACACCTGCCCCCCCAGCCCAGGAAGGAGCCTGTGTCCTATCTGTCTGTGACTGTCACTGAGTCTCATCTGTCTTGTTGTGTAGTAGAATTATGGATAATTGTCTAGTGACCCTCAAAACACTGTAACCACCGCTTCTGGTGTAGATGTTGTGTTTTGGATGCTGTGTTTTCAATAAATGCCTCCGGGGTCCTGCTTTTACCCGGCGGCGTCAGGTACCGCGTCTTTTTTCTTTTTTCTTCCCCACTTCAGGAGGGCTTCTGGGCCAGGCCAGGGGCGGGCGGACCGCAGGAGTCTGCATGGGGAGTCGGGATTGGGATCTGGAGATGATGACACCAGGCAGCTCGGGCCCAGCGCTGCCTGCTGGCCCTGCCGAATCAAACTTTTCCTGTCTCAATAAACTGCTGACTAAAACATAGTCCTCTCCTTCCACTCTTGACTTGGACTGGGATTGAGATGGAGAAGACCAGACGTCTCCCCACCAGAATCACTGCCCTGAGGTAGAGGCACAGGCTTGGATTCTCAGCTTTTAGTCCCTCTGTGGGATGTAGTTTGGGGTTGCAGGGCATTCTGGGGGTCCTCTCACCAAAGGAAATGTTAGTACCTTTGAAGTTCTCTGAAACTGTCAGAGATTGGGTCTCTTTCATTGGAGGGGAGACACTCGGGCAGAGCAGAGCTGTCTACCCCCACCCCAAGAACTCACTGGCGCTGTATGAGGACCTGTTCTTTGAGTGATATTACTGCGTTACCCAGCATGAGGGGTCAGGCTGCCCAGAACCCCCCAGAGCACCGACATTTCTAGTAGCACTGAAATTTGGAAACAGCACCTTGCCCAGGTAGCTGGGAAACCTGGGCTTGAAGCATGGGGACAGTCCCAGGTGAGCAGGAGCTGGTGGGTGACAAAGCCTTGGCAAGGGCCAAGGGTCACCGGGCCCATCTGGGCACCTCTGAAGCCCATAACCCAGCCGGCACCCAGTCCTCACTGCATCCCCAGTCAGCCTGTCAGCTCCACCCTTGGCTGACTCTTGTGCCTGTGTGCCACCCAAAGGCGTGTGGGCATAAGAAGGCCAGTGCCAGGGCCACCAGCCCTCTGTGACACCCGCCCTTCTCCCACGGAGGGTCATATGTGATCAGAGCAAGTTGTTCCAAAGGTTGCAGCTTTTCCTCCACTGCCCCTGTGGTGCTTGAAAGTGTCCTCCGGACCATTTCCTAAGGTAGTGGCTGTCCTGGCAAATGGTATCACAGTTCTAGAATGACAACACAAAATCTTATTTTCAGTTTAGAGGTAGAACCTTCCCCCAGAGTCTTGGGGGCGAGGAGATGGGTTTCAGACAGGTGGGACGGACAGGTCAGCAGGCGTGTGTCCTGCCTGGGACCAGGTAACCAGGCCCTTCTGCAGATTGGTGTGATGAGTCCTGCCTTAATTCCCCTGTTCCCTAAACCTTGAGCCTCACCTTTGGTTCCAAAGTTGGGTGCCCTCCTAGTACCTTGGAAGGCATTAAAAAGGTCACATTACTCAGGAAGTCAACAGCTGACCCCATGCTGTGCTTAATAAAACTTTTTCTAAGGGGGAAATGGCTGGGAAATTGGTGGCATGTGGCTTGGCTGGTGGTCCCCAAGCATTGGGTGGTGATAGGCATGGGTACCTTAGCCAGCTTCGGCTCACTGCAGGGCCTGAGCCAGCCTGCCCATTCGTCCGGCCATTGTCTGCTGGGCTCATTTGTCCCTTGGCACTGAGGTAAGGCTGGACCCCAACCCCCAGCTCTGTCCAGATGGTGGACTAATGTATTAACTGCCTCCATCCCTCTCTTCCTCTGTAATCAGGTGCCTTAATCAGAAGCATGGTTGACATTCTGGCGTGGGGCCATCGGCTCCTGTTGTGTGATTTGTACCATCTCGAGTTAAAGAGACACTGTCACCTGTCTTTCGGGCAGCGTTGTGGTTGTTTATGGGTCTTCTCTAAGTTCTAGTTTGGTATAGCCTCTTGCAGGGGATTCCAAAGCCTGACTGCCTCCCCCTCTGCTCTGCCAGGGACTTTAGAGGAGTTTCCGGTGTCCAAGGCCAGAAAGCAGGAGACAGCCTCCCAAGGGCAGAACTGCAGTGGGACTTCCAGGAATCCTGCCCTGGGGAGCAGAGGGCTCCCAGAGCTGTGCTGGGGCCTCACTTCCTGGGGTCCAAGTCCTTCTGGGAGACCAGCCAATGTGTCTTTGAGTTCGGCTGCTCTGTCGGGAGGCTCTGGGCATGGAACAGGAAGTGGCGAAAAGAGTTCCAAGTCCATTAACCTTCACTGAGTGGCTGGTGTGGGGCTGGGCATTTGCTTCTAGGCAGAGGGATTGGTGTGAATTTGGCAAGGGCGACAGTGTCACTTTAATACCGAGGCTCGTAGTGGAAATAGTTTGCTGTGAGCTGAGGGGGTCAAAGGGGCATGCCGGGAGGGCGGGGTTACGCTGGCACCTCCCAGCCACCCGCTCCTAATGGCACGATTGTGGTCAGACTGCTTTTCTGCTTCAACTAACGCACGCCTCCACTGAGACCCTGACTCAGGCCCCACCTTGCACTGTGGGAGAGGGCTCAGGACCTGTGTGTAAGGCTGCTCCAGAACCTTCCAGGCTGACCTTTTTCCTCTCCCGTGCCCAATGGGCCCTTGCAGGTACTACCCAGGAGACTCTGCCGGCCTCTTCCCCACCAGCCCCAGCCTGGCCGTTTCTTGCCCAAGTGTCGGAGGCTCTTCACCATCCCTGTTCATCCCCACCCCACCTGGCTTCCTGCCCCTTGCCAACCAGCAGCTGTTCCGGTCTCCCCGACGGGCCTCACCCTCCTCACTGCCAGGCCGCCTCAGCCGGGCCCTGTCACTGGGAACCATCCCCTCTCTGACGCGAGCAGGTAAGAAGTGCACAAGTGTTCAAGGAAAGGCAGGTTGGGAGCAGCCTGGGACAGGGTTGTAGTAGATGCATGATGGGGTTAATGCAGGGAATGGTTACCACTCCTGCCACACTGACAGCTACTAAAGGACTCAGGTCCTGGTGCAGCCATGCAGGAGCTGCCCTCAATCAGTGGCCATACCTGCTCTGAGCCTCAGTTTCCCCGCAAAGAAACGGGGCTAATAGTAGAAGTACTTTGTGGGCAGTTAGGAAAGTTAAATGAGGTAACGTATTTAATGTGCTTCAGAGGATACCTGGCACCATCACGAAACACACATACTGGGCTGTCTTTGTGTCTGTTTGTTTGTTGAGACACAGTCTCACTCTTTTGCCCAGGTTAGAGTACCAGCGTATCAGCCTAGCTCACAGCAACCTCAAACTCCTGTGTTCAAGTGATCCTCCTACCTCAGCTGGGACTATAGGCACCTGCCAAAGCACCCAGATAGTTATTAGTAGAAACGGGGGTCTCACTCCTGCTCAGCCTGGTCAAGCTCCTGTAGACTTGGCCTCTCAGTGTTAGGATTAGCCACCATGAGCCAACTGCCTGGCCTTTTTTTGTTGTTTATTTTAAGACATAGAATCTTGCTTTATCACCCTGGCTAGAGTACTGTGGTGATAGAGACCTCCCAGTTCCTGGGCTCAAGGGATCCTCTTGCATCAGCTTCCCAAGTAGCAGGAACTACAGGTACACACTACCTGTAGTGTACGCACTACCATACCCAGCTAATTTTTCTATTTTTTTGTAGAGATGAGGTCTTACTATATTGCCCAGGCTGGTCTCAAACTCTCCTGGCCTCAAGTGATCCTCCTGCCTCAGCCTCCCAAAGTGCTGGGATTATAGGTGTAAGCCACTGTGCCCGGCCTGAGCTTTGACTCTACTTCATACAGTTCTTACCATTCTGGCTGCTGCTGTTATGACTGAGGCCCTGGGGACATCAGTGGCAGGAAACAGTGCCCTGAGCCTTTCTGTGGAGTCTGAGGAACAGAGGTTCCATTCTGGTCAGTAGCATCTATCGAGGACCAGAGCTGGGCCATCTTCAGAGACTTTGCCTCACTCCTCACTTCTCCCAGCAGGATCTTCTAGGAAGTCATTGTAAACACAATACAAATTTAAACACACCGGCAGCCCCGCGAGTATACTATGATTGATCCTTGCTGGCCTCTGGGAAGCCTGGCTCATGTGGGGTCTGTCTCATTCTCGGGGGTGTCTTGGGTGCTGGCTTTCCGTGTACCAGGACTGATGCTGGGAATGCTGGGGGCTGTGGGGCAGGATCCTGACCTGAAAGAATGGCTGGCATCACAGTTAACCCAGTTCCTCATTATTAAATTATAGTCACCAGCCTTGGGGACATATAGTCAGGGTCTCAGTTAAGCCTCTCAATGATTCTGCCAGTCAGGGCCTTTAGCTCTGGGTCAGACACCTCTTTGAGCTTCACTTTCCTTCTGGGACTTGCCGAAGGTCCTTCTGCTGAGAACTAGGGCTTGGGCCTGGGCAGTCTGAAGTCACCACCAAGATGGAGGTGAGTCACTCTGCCACCAGGGACAGCTTCCTGAAGGAGATAGCATATGAGCTGAGCCTGAGATAGGGTTTGAGACCCTTGGGTGGCTTGAAGGTATGAGTTTCCCTAGTACAGAGACCCAGAGGCTGGATATTCTGTGAAACTGAATTGAATACACATATGAGCCAGGTTGCTGGGGACAGTGGCTACTGCCTTTCCCTCTGCCAGGAATATGTACTCAGCAGAGGTCCCTAAGCCCCTGGACATGGGAACTGGGGGGATACTGCAGCAGGGGCTCTCCCTCAAAAGTTTTCTCTGGAGCCCCCCATCCGGCACTAGGGCAGGGTTTGAGGCCTGGAGATGGGGGTCAGGCCTAGGTAGAGCTCAGGTACAGACCTCATCCCAATTAATCATCCTCTGGGTTAAAAGCAGTGACTTGACCTCAGGAGAGAGCAATTCCTGCACCTCGTGTTTCCCTGGAAAGTAAACTCAGGGTAGGCTCCTCCTTACCACCACCCTTCCTCTGGAGAAAACCCCTCCTGTTTCCAAGGGTCCTTTGGCCCCGTCTGTTGGTCTGACAGAGGTGAAACAAGGGACACAGACTTGGGGCCACAATATGGCTCCAGGGTGCTGTGAGGATGATACACAGGACACTAAAGTGCCATAATGACCACGTCTGCTGGGAGCAGCCCAGGAAGAGTCCCTTGCTCCCTGCTGTGATCTGACCTTGGAAAGGTGGTGTGGCTCTCTGCACCCTCCTTTCTTCCTCTAAGGTGGGACAGCTGTGTTTTCATGGCTGTGGCCGGGTGAAGTGAGACCAGCTCTCAGCACATGTAGCAGTTTCTGTTGCCCTGGGTGGGGACAGGGACAGCAGCAAAGGCCAAACTCCTCCATATGGTTAAAGGCAGGCTTGCTGCTTGCACCCCAAGGTTGATCTTGGGACGATTTTGCTTTTCCCCTAAGCAGAGATGTCCCTCTGTGTTTTCAGGGAGCTGTGCTGAGGGTGCCAGGAACACCCCTGCCCAGGGCCTGGAATCCCTTGGGAGGGAAAGGTGGTGGTCCCAGGGCTAGTTCAGGCCTCTGGGGTAGGGTGATCTCCCTGTTGAGGCTCAAGTCAAGGGTCAGGGTGGCCTGTCCAAAGTGGCAGCAAGGTTCTGTGGAGCTGTCTGGTGATAGGTGGATCTGAAAGTCTCCATTGTCAGGCTGGGTTGGCAGGACAGCTCCTTGCAGATTGTCAGTTGCTGGGGCAGGGCCCAGGCGCTGTGACCAAGGTTGGACTTCCTGTCTCTCCCTCTGTCCCCTCAGCTCTACTCCTCTGCCGCCCAGGTCCTGTAGGAAACTGCCAGCAGCCACAGGGTGGGCTGTGGAAGGACTCTGATGGGATCACTTGGGTCACATGACCACCATTACCCAGTCACAAGTGCTGGCCAGGGTCTGCATCCCTGGCCTGGTGAGGAAAGGGGCAGGCCAAGCACTGTGACCCATACTACAGGACAAACAGACCCTTTAGAGTCCAGGGGGGATGGAACAGAAGCCGCCCACAACACGGCACCTACAGTTCTTAGTTGGGTACTAGGGGTCATAAGCAGTGTGAGGTGGCCCTGCCCTCGGGGTCTATTTGATTTAGGAAGAGGCAGTGTATTTGGCCCTCCCGAGTCTGGCACAGGCAGTCAGGGACTGCAGTTAGTGGAGAAAGTGCTACTCAAGATGGCCAGGAAGGCAGGGCCCTGTGGAAAGAAGGGCAGGGAGTTGGAGTGTGCCCAGGGGCCAGCTCCCCTTACCTCCTGCGTGAGCTTTCATTTCTTCGTCTGCAAAGGGGGAGTGCACCCGGCATACCTCAGACGTAGCCCAGGGGCCAGTTGAGCACCTGTGTTTCAGGAAAGCATCTGTAAATGACATTTGTGGAAGCCATGAGGACAGGGCTGGAGAGGGTGGGATCCGTGTGGCCTGATGTGATGTGTGCCTTTCTCCTTTGTCCCCAGACTCCGGCTATCTGTTCAGTGGGAGCCGCCCACCATCTCAGGTGTCCCGGTCTGCGGAGCTTCCTGTTTCAGGTGAGGGCAGCCGGGGCTGCCTCAGGTGGTACAGCAAGGGGTCTGGGGGTTTGCATGAGGTTTGGGGCCAGACAGCCCCGAATGTGTGTTCAGATCTATCTCAGCCCTGGACAAGTGACTAACACCCCTGTGCCTTGGTTTCCTCTTGTATGAATAAAGGTGATAGTTACTGGGATCAGATGATGTCACGAGGATCAGATGATAACCACGCTGCCATCCTTACCAGCAGTTGTGGGTGGAGGTGGCACATACGCCAGGGGGCCGCCCACCAGCAGGGCTCTGGTTAGCTGACCTTTAGTCTCCAGAGTTTGCTCCTGTTCCTCTCAGCTAAGGAAGGTGCCAGGTGCTTTGTCTAGAAGCCGAGGGGATGGGGGACATGGCTAAGGCTCTGTGATCTCTTCCCCTCTCTCAGGTACCTGGTGGGTTGCAGACCCCTCCTTGCTGAGGTTGCTGGCAGGGCTGCCCCAGCCTGCTCCAGACCTCTGTAAGACCTGCCCTTTCTTCCTGGGTTAACAGAGGAAAAGCACAGAACAGAATAGCACACAGAAGGCGTGTTGATCACCCACATTCACATCCTCGCTGTTTTTATTGTCCTCCTCTCCAGATTACTTCTCTCTGCTATCTGGGAGCTGCCCTTCCCCGCTCCCTTCCCCAGCACCCTCCGTGGCTGGCTCAGTGGCCTCCAGCTCTGGCTCCCTGCGACACCGACACCGCAGGCCCCTCATCAGCCCTGCCCGGCTCAACCTGAAGGGCCAGAAGCTTCTGCTGTTCCAGACCCCGCCTGGGGAGGCCCCCGCCACCCCCAGCAGCTCGGATGCTCACTCACATCACAATGGCAGCCTCTTTGCCGTGGAGCCGCCCCAGGTCCCCCGGCGGCAGCCCCTGCAAGACACGAAGCATGCTGTGGGTATGGTCTTCTGCCCACCCCTGCGGGGCCATGGGTCACCTCTGCAGCCAGGAGGCCATCAAGGGCAGCAGTGGGGCCCTTCTTTGCTCCAGTGAACCTATGCGGTCACTCCCAAACCCCCGGACACCCCAGCCTGGCTCTGGTGACTGGAATCCTCTAGGACACTGCCCTCTACTGGCTGATTTTTTTTTTCTTTTGCAGTCGACCTTCAGGGTCCTCTGTTCTTGGGACCAATTGAAAACACATCATGTACTGCCCGGCTGCGTCTGGTCACAGATATTTTTGTTTTGCTCTAATGGTGCTCACACACCAAAGCACTCACCATTTCTAATTAAGCTTCAATCTTTAAAATACACACCTTCCATGTGAATTTGTGACTTTCCTGTGTCTCCTACAGTAACAGCAAATCTGTCCACACTGAGCCTTTGTGCTGGGAGACAGAGGTGGCAGGGTAGTCAAGGTCCATATCCCAGGCTCTGCCACCCCTGCACCATCATCAGCGAGGGTCTGTTGGCATTTGAGTTTGCAGCTCCTGATCTAAAACCAGCCACTCCCATAGCAACTGTGCAGCTGGAGTCCAAAGGAGAACCTGCCCAGGGAGGGGTGAGTGGGTTGTGACAGGCTGGCTTGCCACTTCTGAGGACTGTCCTGGGATTGGCAGTGGAGCTGCCCAGGGTCTTCCCTGGGAGCAGCTGTGAGCACCACTGAGGTGCATGCCCTTCTCTCTGCAGATGTGAGATCACAGCCAGAAGGAGGCAGTGCCTGCAGCAGCCGCTCCATCAAAAAAGAGGATGACTCATCCCAGTCGTCCACCTGTGTGGTGGACACCACCACCAGGGGCTGTGCAGAGGAGGCCATAGCCTGGAAAGGTCTGCCCCCCCAGGGTGGCAGGGGAGGGTTTGGATCTAAAGCCACCATCTCCTCTTGGTAGACACATCATGGCGACTGTGTAGGACAGCACTGATGCTGAGAACTTCTGTCAAACCAGAAGTTCTTGAAGAACTTGGGCACATTTAGGGTGGGCTAGCGTGGGGGCCACTAGGCTGGGCACATACTGGGCAACCTGGCAAGAGGACCTAGCTTCCTAGTTCAGATCCCAGCTGCAGTTCTTACTATCGGCACAGGGGCATGAGACCAAACCGGTGCTCAGTATCCATTATTCCTCCCAGGGAGGGGGCTGACAAGGAGTTTTTCCTGGGAAGATCATTTTGATCTGGCTCTGGGCACCTCCGCCACTCCATCTGCAGCAGGTGCCTGGCAGCACTGCGGGGCTATGGGCAGACCCAGGCCAGCTGCTGGTTAGCTCAGGGGCTGGGCAGGGTGCTTCTCCCCTGAAGTCCCCATGCCCTGTGTGTAATACAGTGTCACAGTTACCCCTCATCACTCAGGTGCAAGCATGTGACAGCCCAGCCCAAGGCCTTCCTGGTGGCTCAGACAAGAATGGGCCTTGGAGGGGGCAGGTGCAGGAATCTTTCCTGCTAGGCAGGTCTTAGGGCCTCCAGAAGAACTGGGACAGGGGCTCCCAGCCTGGAAAGCACCCAGGGCAGAGCCTTGAGGCCTTCACAGGCCGTATCTTGAGGGGTCAGGGTGGTGGCGGCAGGGGCTATTGCCCAGCTGTACCCTACATGCGTGTCCTAACTGAGTCTCTCTGCACTTGCAGGTCGTTTCAGCCCCTCCGTGATCCGGGGCCTCCTGGCCGTGAGCTTGGCTGCCAACGCCGTCTTCACCTCAGCGTACCTATACCAGAGCCTGCGCTGACCCACTGTCATTGACCGTCAGCGGGTAGCACCCGGTGCATGCTGTTCCCACCACTGCCGGCCTCAGAGCCCTCCCTGGATGGGCCCTTGTCTCCAGGGCCCTTGACCTTCCCGGACTAGGAGTCCCTGCCCTCAGGACAACTGCATCTCGTCCCCTGACAGACAGCAGGGCTGAGTGTGGGTTTGGGGTCACACACTCTGCCTACCCATCTCCTTGGCTGACTTTAGTTGTGTGTTTGGTGCTGACATTCTGACCCCAAAGCCAGGGATCCCCAAGGGCTGCATGACCCTGGGGCCCCACCCCCCTCTGCCGTTCTGCCCTGTCAGGACGTGTGACTACTGTAACCACCACAGTAGTGCCGGGCTGCCCTGGACCCTGTGCCCTGGGGCTGTGCTCACATCTTCGTACTGTATTCCCTGTGGCCCCAAGGAAGGGTGTCATCCGACCTGCCTTGCCCTTCTTTTGGGGGTGTGCAGAGGGTCACTGGCTCCTCACAGCCCCTGGGTCTCGGCAGCCAGGAGCCCGCTGGACCTTAGGACCTGCCCCTCCTATGGTCCCCCTCTCCTGCTGCGTGTACCCCTGTTTTGTGACCTATGGTGACTTTCCCAGGAAGCAGCCCCTTTACCCCAAGGACACAGAGCCCAGGGCCTACCTTGCCCCATTTCTCTAGGCCTGGCTCTCTGGCCCCTGGGCTGTACCTTAAGCTATAGGGCAGGTAGGGTGGGGTCCTCCAGGTGTCAGGTTCAGCCGATCCCTCCCCACCCTGCTGGGCACCTGGCTCCTCTCAGCCACTGAGACCCAACTGTCTTTCTCTTGCATTGTGTCCCCTCTGGGCTCCACATGACCTCTGTCTCCCAGGCCACCCCACTAGTGTTTTTTCCTGCCCAGTGCCCTTGGTCCCACCGCCGCCTTCTGCCTGGCTCTGCCCCAGGGAGGAGGGAGAAGGGGCCTTGGTCTGGACTGGGCAGGGTGAGTACATCTGTCCCTCAGAGTCTGTGCCACTAAGGGAGGAAACGGCTGCCGCAGTGAGTTCTGAGACTTAGAGTAGGGGCACGGGGGCAGGAGGAAGGGTCTTCACTCTGTCATTCAGGGATAAAGTTTAATTTTATTTTTCTACATATTTGCCAGGTAAGGCATTTTGCTGATAAGCAGGATGTCCCCAGTTCTCCCTGCTAGGGAGGTTTCATTTTTTTAAGCTTTGGGTGCTTTTTTAATAATTTGTTTTAACATGGGGAAGGAGATTGTGCTGACTTCACCTTCCCCCTCCTATCCCCTGAGCTCCCCACACTGTGCCCTGCCCCGTCCACCCCTAGAATGTGGGGAGCGGAGCGGGGTGGTGCCAGGACTCAAGTCCAACTGCCACAGATGGTTCCAACTTGGAGATGGTGCCTCCTGGTCCCCATTTGTGTGGTGGGCATGTGTGTCGAGTTTTTTAATTTTATTTTTTGCTTAACCAAACCAAACTCCATTCCCAGACACCCTTCCTTGCTGGCTCCTCTCACAGCCAGGCTGGCCTGGCCTGTCCTGCCCCGACTGTGGTCCCAGCATCCCCGGGGGACAGGCTAGGCGGGAGGGGGTTTTACTTTTGTTTCACACAGAAAACACAACCTTATTTTTCTTTACAAAAACAAAAAAGGAAACCAAAAAAGATACAGCCTTTGAACTATGCCTAGCTGTCTGGTTCATTCTCTTGTGCTCTGGCCAGCAGGGTGGAGAGGGTGGTTTCCTTCACTTCAGTGGAGCCCCAAGGCTCAGGGGTGTCCCTGCAAGGACTGAGACATCTGGACAGAAGACTCGCTGGCTGGGCCAGGGCGGTAAGAAGGGTGACCCAGGCAGAGCAGCCTGAGCCAGGGGCGGGCTCCTCAGGAAAGCCTGTCCCTGCTGCAGGGGCACAGGTCAGCATGTGACAGAGACTGTTTCTTCCCCAAACGCCCTCAGAATCACCCTGTCATCCTCCAGCACTGTCAGCTGCAGAGCCAGACACCATCTGATAGGCCCAGCCCTGCCTGGCCCAGGAGGCTGCAGCAGGTGAGAGCGGGGATGCACCTGCCCCACAGCAAGCGGAGGGCAGGGCAGAGTGGTGGTGAGGGACCAGCCTCCTGAGTGGCACAAGCTCTTGGTCAGGCTGTCCAGTGACTGGGTCTGCTTTTATACTAGCTTTAGTCATTCCTAAGTAACAGGGTGGCCATTAAGGACTAGGGTGATTGAACCACATAGGAGGCAAAAGGAGCTCCAGCAGGTATTCTGGGTCAGTACCCTCCAGGGACGATGGACAGCTGGCAAGTGGGGGGTGGGATCCCAGAAGCCTCAGATGATCTGAGCCAGACCTCAGGGCAGGTGGGGGTAGGTCCTGCTTGCAGTACCCAGAAGCCACCATTAAGCTGTTGGTGTCTGCTTTCTTTTTATTTTTTTTTTAAGTTTTGAGACAGTCTTCTTTGTCACCTGGGCTACAGTGCCATGGCATCAGCCTAGCTCACAGCTACCTCAAACTCCTAGGCTCAAGTGATCCTCCTGCTTCAGCCCCCTGAGTAGCTGGGGGCTTACCAGTAGCTCAGGCACCCACCACCACGCCCTGCTAATTTTTCTTTTCTTTTCTTTGTTTTTTTTTTTTGTTTTTTGTTTTTTGTTTTTTTGAGACAGAGCCTCAAGCTGTCCCCCTGGGTAGAGTGCTGTGGCATCACAGCTCACAGCAACCTCCAACTCCTGGGCTCAAGCGAGTCTCCCACCTCTGCCTCCCAAGTAGCTGGGGCTACAGGCCCCCGCTACAACGCCTGGCTATTTTTTGGTTGCAGCCGTCATTATTGTTTGGCGGGCCCAGGCTGGATTTGAACCTGCCAGCTCGGGTGTGTGTGGCTGGAACCTTAGCCACTTGAGGCACAGGCGAGCCAATTTTTCTATCTTTAGTAGAGATAAGGTCTCTTGCTCAGGCTGGTCTTGAACTCTTGAGCTTAAAGGATCCTCCCACCTCACTTCCCAAAGTGTTGGGACAACAGGTGTGTGGCCACCACGCCCAGCAGTTTCTTTTTTCTTCTAAAATCCTGAGTTGACTTTTGCTTTGTAAACTTGCCCCTGATTATCACCTTGCACTGTGGAGGGGAAAGATGATCAGATCAGAGTTCCTTCCCCTGGTAATATTTACAAAGAGATGGTTTATAATCTGGCTCCCAGGAAGAGCTTAGGGGAGAGGGGAAGAAAGGCAGGGAGGGAGCCCAGCACTACCACCCCCCTGAGCAGAGAAGCCCAGTTGTTGAATGCTGGGTTCCACCTGAGTTTTTATGTTGGAAAAGTTTTGATTAAAATAACATACCAGACGCGGTGGCTCACACCTATAATCCCAGCACTCTGAGGCAAGTGGATCACCTGAGCTCATGAGTTCAAGACCTGCTTGAACTGAACTAGAGGGAGTCCCTGCCTCTAAAAATAGCCCCAGTGTTGTGGCAGACCCTAGCTACTGGGGAGGCTGGGGCAAGAGAATGGCTTGAGCCCAGGAGTCTGATGTTGCCGTGAGCTATGGCGCTACGGTGCTCTACCAGGGGGTAACAAATAAGAGTCTAACTCAATAAAGTAAAATAAACTTTCAAGCCATGTCTATAATCCGAGAATTTTGGAAGGCCTTGGCGGGAGGATCACTTGAGGCCAGGTGTTTGAGACCAGCCTGGGCAACATAGCAAGATCTTGTTGCTACAAAAAGTAGTGGTGACAAATTAAGGTTTAAAAACCACTGCTGGCATACCACCCACCTTACCAGCAGGCCTTGTGACAGCTGGGCCCTTCCATGCAGCAAGGAGAAAGGGCCTAGATGACCTCTTGGCCTTTTGAGGGATGATCAGGGATAGGAACTCCCAATATGGGACATCTGTGGGGTCGAGTGGCTCTACCACTACAAAATACTTTTTTTTTTTTTTTTTTTTTTT